CGTGGGATTTAACCAGGATCATTACCCACTGAAACAACTTGTTGACCCTAATTTATAACATTGCTGGGTGGGGCAAGGTTATAAGACACAAAAGAATATTTTAAATGTGTTTATTTAATATTTATATTTAATATGTTTATTTAATATTTAATATTTTATATTAAATTTACATATGCTTTATTTACTGAGAATTTCACACATGTGCACACATATTTTGATTATATATACCCTTTCCCCCCTCTGACTCCTCTCAGATTCTCCTACCTTATCTCCTTCTAAACTCTATGTCTTCTCCATTTTTTTTATAACCCACTGAGCACAATTAGTACTGCCCTCTGTTCATGGTATAGGGTCATCAACTAGAACATGAGCAACATGCCAGTAGCCTTCAACTGCAATAATTCCTTAGAAAGGGATAAAGACTTTGGGGTACCTCTCCTATCCATGCTTCAAATTTTCCTGGGTCTGTTTTGTGCTGGCAGGTCCTGTGCAGAAAATCACAACTGCTATGAGTTCTTAAGTGCAACAACCCTTTAGTGTCCAGAAGACACAATGAGCCTGCCATGAGTTCATAAATGCAATGACCCTGTCATTTCCAAAAGACATAATGCCGTTTTTTTGTTTTGTTTTGTTTTGTTTTGTTTTGTTTTGTTTTGTAGCATCTTCTCTGACACTTGAGTCTTATTTCTACCACCTCTTATAATGTTCTCTGAGTCTTGAAGGGGCAAGGAGGGGATTTGAAGTAGATGTTGATTGCTGTTTGGCCTGAACACTTTGCCATCACTGATTCCATGTACTTTGACCAGTCATGCATCTCTGTATGAAGTGTAGTCAATTGCAAAATGAAGTTTCTCTGGTAAAGGCTGAGAATGGATCAAATCTGTGGGTAAAAGATAAATATTCAGAAGACAATTTGATACAATGTCTATTCAACAAAATAATATACACTCGCCCCTGTTCCATAAGCTCTTCAGTCATGGATCTTTGGCTAGGTTTACAGTACCAAGCCTGAGTAGCATCCTGTGAAATGGGCTTCAAACCCAAGGAGAAAGCAGTTGGTTACCCCCATAGCATCCACACCTCTGTTGTATCAGCAGGCTTATATTTTAAGGAGGATCATCACTGCAGCCCACAAAGTTCACAGTGGGTTAAGGCTGTTACTTTCCTTTTTAAGAATCCTAGGCAGTATGCACTTTTTTCACTTTCACAGAGTGTTTCCTCCCTACCCAGTAGGGAGGACGCTTACAGGTTGGTACCAGGTTGCTTTCCTTTTGTCCTATGACCCAAATCTATGACATTTTCAGCAACTGGGTCTTCCTATCAGGTTATGGTGGATAACAAAATAGCAATGACAATAGATTGTATTATTTGGGGGGATTATAAGAAGCCCCCTCATGGCCAAGAATTGGAAGGGATTTATCCCACCCCTGACATTAGGAAGGATCACTACCCATATCCTATATAGGATTACTCCATTAATATATATATATATAAATATATACATATATTATTAAAATATTAAACTTACATATGGCTTTTTCGAACATCTTAAGTATTAGTTATTCTTTCCTCCTTTTTTTTTCTCTGCCCAACCTTCCTGCTATTATTAACTTTTTAGTTAACTTAAAACAACTTACACTCTTCTGGAGGAGAGTTTTAATGAAGGATTGTCTGCAGCTGAGGTGGCCTGAGGGTGTGTCCGTGGGGAACTGCCTTAAGGAAGTTCGTAGCTGTAGGAAGGTGCAGTCCACAGCGGGTCACCATCTTGGGCAGGGCATTCTGAACTGTTTAACAATGGAGACGTAGAACTGAGCACCAGCAAACTCGTGCACGTATTTTTCTCTGACCTTGACTGTGGATGTGATGTGATTAGACGCTTATAGTTCCTGCCGTGACTTCTCAACAAGATGCGTGGCGACCTGGAATTGTAAACTGAAGTGAACACTGTGTGAATTGAGTGAGAAATGCCCTTCACAGACAGGCCCAGGCACTCAGCCACTGGTTACCAGTCAGTGGTAGTGGTGTGAGAAGATTTAGGACATGCAAACATACCGGAGGAAGTCCTCAGCGGGGTCAGGATTTGAGAGTTTAAGGCCGCATGCTACTCTCAGCTCAATCTCTCTCCTCTGTGCTCACACTGGAAGGTATGTGCTCTTAGGTTCCTGCTCTTGCCCCATGCCTGCTATTCTTGCCATGCCTCTCCACCATGACAGACTCCTATTCCTCTGAAACCTTAAGTCAAAACAAACTGTTCCTTCTATAAATTGCTTTGGTTATGCTGCTTTATTACATCAACAGATAAGTAGCTGTCACAGATCCCTTTGTCCCTTAGTTACCTTTCATCACAGCAACTGAAATGAAACTAAAACACCACTCTCTCCCCTCCCTAATCCCTGCTAAGCCCACTCCATGATTTCCCCTTTTCCTCTTTATAAAACTATACTCACCAATCTCCCTGCTCTTAAAATCCTTCTTCTTGACTCCCAGTAATTGCTTACTATCTTACTGGCTTTTATCAGTACTTTAAGCTAAATATATAAATCTAAATATAAAAAACTAGGATACACATATGAAAGAGAATCTGGGATACTGTTTTTACCTTACTCCTCTTAAAATTTTTTTTCAAGTTATAGCCATTTACCTATAATAATTTAATTTTTCTTTATAGCTCAATAAAATACTGGTGTATGTATAAGTCCTTTTTGTTGTCCATTCTGAAGTTAATGGACATTAAAGCTATTTCCATTTCTTAGCTCTTCTAAGTACAGAAACAGTGAACACAGAGAGGCAAGTCTCTCTATAGCAGTATATAGTGTTTCTTGGGTGTATTCTCAGGATTAAATAGCTGGGTCATCTAATAGACCTATTGATAGCTTTTGAAAACTTCCACACTGATTTTCATTATGGTCATAACTAAAAGCAAAACATGGGAAAAGGCATTTCCCTTGTTCACACATCCTTTTGTGATTACCATTTTAAGTCCAGAGTAATTGCACCCAGCCAATAACACAAAAGAATAATAAATTGCACAACATAATTCATACATTGTAAAATAAGTGATGTGTGCTAAAAGGCCTCTTGGCACATACTGATTCGTACCACAGAATTTCAACAGTTTTAGCTTTGCAAAAATAGAAAACAAATGTGTCCATTCAGATTCTCCTGGTGCGTCTGAGCCTATTCGACCTGAGAGAAAAGTCTGTCCCTGAGTGATAGTTGGAGTAAAATGGGGGAAGAAATTTTTCGTTAGTTAAAGAACATGATTTGGTGCAAGTAGTCTTTAAAAATTCCAAAACTTGCATGACGTGTTGTTACTCATGATGGAACTAAATGGACTGTAATGTGGAATTAAATATTCACTGAATAGAACAACCTACATTAAAGAGTAACTAGAAAACTTTGCCATTTAATTTTTAGTTCAAAAGCAGAAACTACTAAGATTTATATAAAGTAGAAGAAATAGTAGGATTAGATAAGATTAGTGTGTCAGAAGTATGCAGAAATGCAGGATAATTTGATATACCATGATATTTAAATTACAATAAAATCTTATGAAGAGTAGAAAGAAATATGACAGTTAGTGACTCCCTGGGACTAAAGTAAAAGTTTGTGTGGCTTATAAATAAGCTTGAGTTGAAACTAGAGCATAGAGAATTTTCCATGGGTCTTTATCCTCTAGCTTCAAAAAGTTTAAATATTATTATTGACTGATTTCTGTCATTGAGTGTGTGTGTGTGCACTGTGCACAAACATTTATTTGGAATATTCTACTACAGCTTTGATCTCATCAAACCACCTACAATTGACTGATACGATTTTGTCAAGGCTGTCTGTGTGACCATGAGTTTGTAAATATCAATTGGAGCATGGTAATAAATACCTTTTACATTTACATGTAAACACACACACACAAACTTAAAGTACACACATGTATATATATACATATATAAAGAAAAACTATCCCTCATTCATATACATATATTTTGTCTTATTACATTCCATGTTTTCTGTTATTTTTAAAACTGCATGAGTCTCTGTGTGGCAATAGATGTAGAACTGTTCATGACTAAAAGCAAAAGAGCTATATGAAATAATTGCCTAAGACTTCCGAAATACAAGCAACTCTGATCTACTTGAAATTCAGGCAGCTGATAAAGCTACAAAAGCTCACATAGCCTTAGAAGAAAAAAAATTCAAAACCTATGCTGAGCTTCTACAGAAGCAAGGCATCAGAGTATGTGAATTTCCACTTAGTTATCACAACTTGTAAAGCAAGCATTTCATCTAAATCTGTAGAAAAGAATGGTGAGGTTCAAAGGCAGTAAGCCATTATTTCTGGCAGAGAATTTGTGAGATGAAAGCCCAGACAGAAAGGCTCACACATCTGATTGTGAGGCTATTGACAGTTCAAAATTAAATTATGAAGACTACTGCAATTAATAATTTAAAGAATTAATGCTTTTATGGCACAAGTTGCATATAAGTACACATTATCGCTTTTCAGATCAGCTTATGATCTCAAGTAACTCTACAGTCTACCCTTAGTTATTTACAGATGAGAAATAAAAGTTTTTAATTCAACTGACAATGATTTTTAAATGAAATACTGTTTTATTAGTTATGTAATAAATTCAATTGGAGACAGGAAAAAAAGGTAGGCAAATAATAGGTGGAAATAGAGAACAGGTAGCAAGCTGTGGGATCAAACCGTCGGGGACAGAAACCTTTTATTTAATGTAATAGTTGCTGCACAGGCTCTTGGAACCCTCTGCAATAGCACAAGCTCCGGGGTCTTACAAGCCAGTAGGGGGCAGACAACAATTTCTGGTATCTATGGCTGTGGCCTGGCTCTCCTTGTCTGTGAGCCGGTTACCTAGCTCTGGCCTGGATGCGCTTCCTTAGCAACTGGTTGCCCTGGGCGACAGGAAGACGCAGTCCAGCGGACTTGTCTTCCTAGCAAGTTCCTAGCACCTGCTTGCGGTCAAAGGCGCCAGTGAGCTATGTCGGAGATCCTGTGCCAGTGGCTCAACCAGGAGTTGAAGGTGTCCCGGACCGTGAGTGAGTGAGCACAGCCAAGGGGCAAGCAGATGACGGGAGCATAAGGGCGCGCTGATGGAAAGAGGCCACCTAAGTGGCTAGCAGCGCCCCACAGTGCGGGCTAGCACCCCTCAGTGCTACCTAGCCTCCCTGGGGCCTTCTTATTCATTACCATCCTCAGTCAGTCTCGGCCCTCAGAGTTTCTGACCTAGTCCGTATTCCTAAGAAAAGCTTAAGTTCGACGTACTGGTCTGCTCCTATGGGGAGAAGACATTGCTCCTGTCTGTAGTGTGACCCTCGCTTTGCTTCCGTGCCATCTTCCTCAAGATGCACAGGTCAAGTCCATGGAGAGGGAGTGTTTCGGGAATTACAACTCTTTTCTGTGTTTCCTTCATACACTCTCCCTGTTTAACAGCAAATGTAGAATATGTTAACATTTTCCAGTCAGGAACTTTAAGCTCAGCTTACAAACTTTAGCCCTTTGAGGTACCATTTACTTTTTTCTCAGCTAACCTTATGGCATGAAGCTGTACACAAAGCTCCTAAATTCTTACGGCCCAGGAAGTTACAAACACTTCAGATTTGGTGACAACCAAACACTTCCAAAGCCAGCACTTCACTGTGATCTTCCTCCTCTTCCGGGAGAGGGATTATTGTCTCTTCATTAGGAGCTCATTTTCAATTGCTATGGATTTTCCCCCAGGCAAGACGTTTTCAGGACTAATTACTTCAATCTGACTTTCGAGAGGAGCTCTTGCCTCTCTGCCAGCAGCTATCAATGGGAGCAGTTGGCGGTTTCCAGCCTTGGGTCAGACCTAGAACTTGCTGGATCAGAGTAGTGTTTGTGCAGGGGTGAGATATCGCCTACCAGCCCAAGGGTCTGCAACGAAGAGCATCCCAAGTTACATTTCCTGAGACATAAACATTAGATTGTTGTTTGCCAAACCACCTCCACCCTGCTATAAGCAATAGCAAATTCTGTCTTGTCTGTCTCCTCGTGCCTCGGTTTCTCTGCTCAAATATGAGGCCAAACTCAGGTCAGTATTTAGCATTTAACATTTCTTTTTCCTCTCTCACCATATTGTCCAAAGAGGCAGTATTTCGCCTAAAGTTGAACTGTTCTTGGACAACAGCTACACATTTCTTAGCTTAAGTTTGTTCGTTTATTTTATAATGAGATCCACACCATTTCCTCAAGTCCATAGGACCCTTGCAGAGTAAAACACTTTTGGAAAAAAGTAAATAAAATTATCATAAACATGAAAACACTAGCTGTTGTTATAATACTAATAATTATGAGTAATTTGGTTTGGAAAGAAGGTATGACTTCATTCTGTGAAGATTAAAAGCCTGGAGACATTTTAAATAAAAATTGTAACACCACAAGCTATGAATGGAAAATTCCCAGCATCTATTTTCCTGCAGTATAAATCTGGAACTTGTTAGCAGAGACACCCCACACTAATTTCATTTTAAACATCAGCAATACAGCCATTTCTGAATCCCAATTGCTACAAGATGTCTAAGTAGACAGCCTCTGATGTAGACAAATTATGCCATGTAAAGGGCTATCCAGAGCACAGAGAGTATATTCAATTGTGTTTGTTATGGAGATGGCTTTGCTGTGTACCTGAGGGAAAACACTGATTCTTGTAGATGCCTTTTCATTGGATAAGCTGTTCTGTGGGTGTGTGGGAAGATTCTGAATAATTTGTAAAACTTATGATATAAAGAAACAGTGTAAGTTGAGGAAAGCAATTTTGTGGTTTCTGGAAGAGCTGTGTTAAGAGGAAGGAATTAGAGACCAGACTTTCTGGCTCTAAATCTCTTATTCACCACTTACTAACCTGTAGCCTAAAGTTCACTGTACCTAAACACAGCATTTATGATGACACTTTATCAGTATCAAGGTTAAATGACATAATACATGTAAAGCATTGAATAATACTTAGAACAGGCATAGTGAGTACAAAATATCACTGCATCTTCAGTCACCTTAAAAAGCATCAACATATAAGGATATTTGAAGAAAGATCTATATTTCTATGTTGATTCTGGTACAGAAACAATCTGAACAGTCCTAAGCTTATTAATAGATGCACATCATTTAACACTATGTTTTTGTGTACCATGGAATACTGTGCAACTATTGAACAAATGGGATAGCTATTTTGACATGGCAGATTTTTGTGTATTTTTGATTAAAAATGTTGTAGCTTAATGTAATTAGCATAATTATGGTTTTATCAAAGATAATATACATATAAAAACATTCACAGCCATTGGGGAATAGAGCTCATACACTGTGCTGTACTGACTTGTTAACATGTTTGTAAACTTTTATATTGTTATTTATACTAACATAAATGAAAGTATGTACAGATATAATCTAGAATTATATGATATAATCTAGAATTATCAATGCTGGCTACCCTGAGGAGGCAGCGATTTACATATTTCTTTCATGCTTTTCCATTATTTAGATTGAGCTTGTGTTGCTTCAATATAGTGCTGAAATGAGAAATTCAAAGTGTGAGTTAAACTTCATGAAAAATAAAAGGAAAAAACTTGAGTTAAAACATGTATGCTTTTGCAATGAAATATTTTATGAGATTTTAAAAAGATATTTTCTCAAATAAAATATGTTAATTGAAATAATAAGAAAATTAAGTTATATTTATATACTTATAACACAGACTATTATACTAGTTTGGTGTTTAAAACAAGCATAAGAGCAAAGTCTCAAAACAAAGATGATAATGAGACTATTTGGAAATTGGTTAGTGATACACATTTAATAGAATGTAGAGCTAGGATACAAGCCTAATTTTTTTTTTTACTTTTGCTTTTAGGTACTCTATTTTTTTATTAGTGTTTACAGTTAAGAGTATCTATCTATTAATATCTGTTGACCAATTGATCTACCTTCCAAGTATTCATTTAAACTCACTTTTAAGGGTTATCATCTAATTGGTGTGTGTGTGTGTGTGTGTGTGTTGAATTTTAACTATTCAACCTCTGAGGCAAGTTTTAAGATTTCAAGACATAAGTCAATTCCCAGATGGTTAAACAGCAAAGGTAGGATTATTCGTGTTTGATAGAGTGGTTCAGTCCAATCATTTCTTGTGAAACACACAAACTAGGTGAGGTTACCATGTAAGTGCTTTGATAATGCTAAATAATATGTATTTGTTTGGGAGATAGCCAAAGTGAATTGATTCCAGATTGTCTTGAAAGCTAGGTCCAGAGCTTCCCTGTTTATCAACAGTAGAGAAAAGGTATTCCGATAATCTCAATGGATCATAGTTACCTTCCACGTGAGCAAGTGGCAGTGCATGTTCTTGGGAATCCCTGCAAAGCTGATTCATTTTAACAGAGGGAGAGTCCAATCTAGTCAAGAAAACCTAATAGCCTTCAATATGATATATTTAATTGAATCATTTTCCCAGGATCTCACCCTGCTTTGAGTTCCTGTCCCGATTTCCTTCAGTGATAGACTATGGATTTGGAAGTATAAGTCTTTATAAACCCTTTCCTTCCCAACTTGATTTTGGTCACGGTGTTTTATTATAGCAATAGTAACTCAAACTAAGATACATGGCTTCAAATTCTTTGCATAAAGCAGATTAATCATAAAGATAGTAATAGTGCATGTCTCCTGGATTCTGACCATGGATAAATTGAAAAACCTAAGTAAATTAATTATATGTATCTTAATTTCATCTGTGGCCATAAAAATTATAATTAATACTAATAAAGGCACAACAAATGGAAGGCTGCATTCAGTAAATACATACCTCTATGTTTTCAGAGCAGAAATAGGAACAATAATCTCCAGGTCTTATTTTTCTTCCCAGTGAAGTCATGACTAATGTGTATTTGGGAAGATACAATTATTAATGATTTATTTTATTTATAAGATAAAATTATTAATGATCACAGTTACAGTGCTGGCCAGTGCTAGATACTTAGTTAACATTATCTTAACATTTTTCTGTTTCTTGCTTTAAAATGGTGCCCAGCACAGTTCCTGACACATAAAATATTCCACAATAATATATGAATGAAACAAAAGTAAATCATGACTTTTGATCTATTTCTGTCTTAAAAGGAAGCTTGAACATTTAAAACCTCAGCTTTCTGACTGATTTTGCTAATCTAAGCAAGTTTTTAAAAAAGAATGGGGCAACAGTTTCTTAGAGGAAGAAGGCCGTTAGACGATGCATTATTAGCGAGTTAGCACGGTACATAACTTTCCCTGGCACACTCAGAGGAAAACAAATTTGTAAATCAAATTGCTTGTCACAAATTAAAAAATGATCTATTATCAGAATAATCCTCAAATGAAGCTAATGTTTGATTTATGGTAGACACACTTTATCAATTTATTGAAGAATATAGAATTAGATTATATTTGCTTCCCACCCCACAATATTTAAGAAAGACACACTATTTAAAAGCATTCTCTTTCCTCCTACAACTAAAAACTCCTGAAGTCTCAATCATTGTACATTCTTCTGTTGTTATAATATATTGTTATATCGTCAATCAAAATGCACAAAGAATATTGTTTACATATTTTTAAATGTAGTTCAGTTTTGGGTTTTTAGAGATATTCTAAGATCCTAATTAATGTGGGTGGGTTTTCACAAATGCCAATATTAGTCTTTCTATGTGAAATATTAGTAGTTCTTGAGAATTGCTTTAAATTATATGGGCAGCCTTTGCAGTTCATTTGGCTGGCTTTTTTGAGACACGATCTTCCATCCCTGCTTTAAGTAGCCTACAATGCATGACAGTCCACCTGACTCAGCCTCTGTATGCTAGGAGTACTGGCCCTGCACCACCATGCCCAGCTGGTTATACTTTATTTAGATACTTTTGTAGGTTTATTTGTTTTTAATCTCAAGTTTTACTTTTTAAAATGGAGCTATATAAATAGTCCTACTTAATACATATTTTATGATGGCCTTCCTGATGGTTCTCATAGTAGTACCTTTTCTGGGCTGTTTGGGTCTTGT